CTTTCCAATTACCAATTATGAAGATGTGCTTGGAATTTAAGAAGTTTGAACGAGGCATCATAATATTTAGAGCTATAAATCTGATTCTTAAACAAAGGATGTTTACGATGGCGACTTGTCGGCTCGTCGATCAACAGTCTTAAGCCAAGCTAGAGGGAAACAAGACCCACCCTTTGGACCCAAACCGGAAACACCTTTAACGTTCCAGTGTCGTCTGCTTACATGTATACTAAATCGAGGCCTGGATATCCATTACGCAAAGAAATGGGCTTTCGCATAGGTGGGGGTGCTAGTCCCACACTTAAACCACCCCCCCCCCCCCACTTCCCCCCTTTAAAACGTGGACGACTAGAGTGTCTTTTTATTCTTGGGAAACTGGCACGATAATTGAATAGGAATACAAAAGGATAGTTTTCTCAGCTTAAAACTAATACTAAACATAAAACATTGAACTCTAATGTCACATCAGAACTGCTGTATGGAGCGGAAACACAGAGAAAGCTAAAATAGTTACTAATTAACTACAAATATTCGTTGATGCTTGAGCAGATGAGAGGGAATTAAATGATTAGTTGGAATCAGTTTTGTTAAGCGCATCAAGAGAAAGATAGACACGTTCAACTGAATCAAGAGGTTGAGAAAAGACGCTAGTTTTGGAAGGAGGGCGCGTTTGGGAAGAAAAAAACACACACAAAAATAAATAACTCTTTTCCACGCTATCAGGGGTGTTGTACATACAGAGCTAGACATATATTATATAGACCAATCTACCCTTGGTGGGTGACGTGGTCAGCATCATACTAGATGCAATTTTCTTCCTGGGTCTTTACCTGGCATTCATTCAAGGCTGGGTCGACCTGGGAGCCAAAGTCGGTTTAAAAAACAACTTTCCGGCCCCGTCTGGACCCGAACCCACAGCCTTCCGATCCGCAGGCGTGCGTCTTGCCTCTACACCTCGACAGCTCTTCATAAGGGTATTAACAGGCTTAATATTAGATTGTTTCTTATAAGTTAGGATTGAAGTGTCCTAAATATAATATTAGAGTGTTACATCAATCAGGATTAGAGTGTTAAAATCTGGATTCACTCATTCAATACTAGGCAGCTCATCATTCGTTTGCTTGTTTCTCCTCACAGGATATACATTTTTTCAACTCTAAATGTTTTATAAAGAAGATAGAATCATCATCATCGGCATGTACCCTACCAGCTCGTGCATCTCCAGAGATTACGACCTTTGGTTGCCGGGATATCCCTTGATGATATCCCTCCATGCCATCGTTTCAGCCCATCCCTCATCATCTCTCTTGGGCTACCTCTACCCTTCTTTCCACTGATCTTTTCAGTTGTCGCGATGTTCTCCAATGTCTCTCTTCTTAGTAGGTGGTCAAATAACAGTTTGTCTTCTATTGTTGTATATGGAGATCTACTTTTATTACAATAGCCAACATTTGATCATCGGATCATTATTTGGTAACTAATTTAAGCTAGGTCGACCTTGTAGCTATCGTCACTTAATGACATGCAGTTGATATGGCTAATCCAGTACTAATCAGATGTGGTGTTATAAATGTCATGCGCTGCGCTCACCGTACCGAGGAGCATGCCAAATGACATGACTCCAATTCCCTGTCTAGACTGATGGACATGGGGTTGCAACCTGGAGCTGCATGAAATGAATATTTCCCTAAGGGGGCAAGACGTTTCATTAACCAACACAGAACAGGCGTCATCAGTCGTTTTACACTTGTGGAGCTTTTGAGGAGGAGATCGGAGCACCTATGCATCTGTCCAGAGTGCTGTGATGATAATCCTTTTTAATCACTAATCCCTTTATGAAAAGAAAAGTCTTGATACGGATTCTGCAACACAGGCTTCTGAAGGGCAGGCAAGCGATTAGGCAAACAGAATTCCTATTTCAATATAGGACGCAACTTTTTTAAAGCCGCATTTCGGCTGTCGTAGGAAGCGTTAAATATAACCTACGGGTTGAACAGGGTTTCTAGGAATCGCACCCGATGATTCTCGTTAAAAAGGTGGCGCTTTATGTCACCGGGTGTTTAACGCTCGTTGTGCGTTCCTTGTAGTGGTTGAAAAACAACCAGTCAGTTATTATTAAGCTATTGTGGACCATGTTACTTACTTTATTGTAATAAAAAAAAAGTCGATGAAACAGTTTAGTTTTGATTGTCTTACGCAGAACGTGATCGTTAGAGTTGTCCGGCTGGCGTTGATTGCTTATTTATCAACTATGCTAGTTAGTTATAGAAAACATCGCTGTTTGTCTCTAATGACGTTCACAAATCAGCATTTCTCGACATGTTGCTTACTCACGTCAGCGAACGCATTGTTGAGATACCATGGACGCCGACACAAAGAAATCATTCGGAGGCTCATTTGCGTACGCTTGTTTAAGCGCCCATGTATATTAATAATAATAATAATAATAATAATAGTAATAAAATTAATAATGATAATAATAATAATCATAATAACAATATTAATTAAGTGCTGAACTGCCATTAAAATAATAATATACTTAATATAATTTGAAAAGTATCAATGAATAAAGTACTCAAAAAGACAGAGGTCTGTGCAATGTTAGGTGGGAGGGGTTGGGGGGGGGGGGGGGGAGAAGAGATTGTTTTTAGCCTCCCTGAATATGTTCTAATGAGTTCAGGAGCAAGGTCTCAGTCCTGTAAAAATTACCGGGAAAAGGGTGGGGCGGGCTAAGCTCCAGCTAACCCCCCCCCCCCTCGTGATTATTTTCTGTTGGGGGGTGGGGGAGAGGTGTGTCCTCAAGATCCCTGAGCCACCAGATCTTGGCACCCCTGTTTGATACAGTGTCAAAGATTACTACTTCTATTTTAACATGAAAAGATTCTGAATCGTGTTAAATTATGACAAAGAGCTGTTACTAGCATCTTCTCATCTTTCCCCCAGACCATAGTATAATATGGTCCTATAAGGGATATAGGATCCATAAACTACTTGAATGGCGTGAGTGACCAGCAAGATCCTTTCATATCAAAAAGCGTCTTTAACGATTAGAGTATGGGATGTCAGCACCATTGTTACCATCCTATTTATTTAGGGTTGTTTTTTCTCAAAGACTCAGCTCTTATCTATGCAATAATTTTCTCCTTATCCTTATTTCATTCTGATATCTCAAATCAGTGCAATACTGTCGGTAATCTCATCCTGGTCTAACGAATATACCCAATGTCTATATCGTCCATGTGTAAGTGAGAAGGTGGCTTGTTTTCTTTGGGTCGGTTAAGACATTTAAAAAGTTGACAGAAAGAGCAATAGAGTATCATAAGACATGCAAAGTCACATTTATAGATCAGTAAAATGTGTTTTGTGAGAGTGGATAGAAATATGTTTTGAAATTGCCCATATTAGGTATAGAATAAGCAAACATCTAACTGAAGTGTGTAAGCGCTTATATACATCAAGTAAAAGTTGCATACGAACAAAAGCAGGGACATCGCAAATTTTTGAAGTAAATTTAGGAGTAAGACAGGGATGTGTGCTATCTTCCTGCTTTTTATACTATACGTCGACAAGATATTGAAAGAAGCAGAAAGCACAGAAAAGAATGCTATCTCAGAATTGTTATTTACAGATGACCAAGTATTATTAGCTGCAACAAGATAGTTTACAGAAACACAGACTAATTCAATGCTAAGTGTGAGAAATACAATATGAAGTTAAGCATTGACAAGACAGAGGCGATGCTGCTAGATAGACACACACAAAAAAAAAAAAAACAACATATCAATGAAATTAAATAAGACAGAAATATCCAGGGTCAGTTTTCACCTTAGATGGAAGAATGGTTAGAGAAATCTACATACAATGTGCGAAAGTAAATCAGGTTATGGAACAATTACCACCTATTCAGGCGCACATAACGATACCTCTGTCAACCAAAGCAAATCTCATAACAGCGGGTTCTTAGGGGGGGGGGGGCGACATGGCGCTACAAGTGCCAAACATGGACCCTTACTGTAGCAAATAAGCGGAAGATCCTAACAACAGAGATGCGATGTGTTAGGAGAGTTGCCGGTGTGAAAAGAAGAGATAAAATCCGTAACAAATAAATTAGAGAAAGACTAGGATTGAAACCAGCCATACAGTTCATTAAAGAACAACAAATAAGATGGCTTGAACCCCTAATAAGAATGCCCTGGCACCAACAGCCACAGAGAGCCACTCTGAAGAAATCTAATGAACAGAGCAAGGGGGAGACCACACAAGAGATGGAGCGATATCATCAGGAGCGACCTAACATAAATGAACACCAACTTGTAGAATGCTTTGGAAAAGGCTCACAAACGATCCTTGCATCTGCCCACAACACCTCCCTGAGGTAGATGGTGGAAGAGAAGAATAAAGTTCGGTAGCTACTAAGCTAAATACATGATGTTATAATGTAAGCTGTAGATTTCCTTTTGAAGGCTTTTCTTTAATTGTGAACAGCAGAATTAAAAAGTAGTGAGTAGCCCGTTATCACGGAACTGGTGATGCCTAATGTAATATGAGATGCACAGCTGTTGTTTTGTTGTAAATGCTGGTTTTTATCAGCAATAAACTGCAGTTCTAGTGCCGGAGTGTTTGTGCGGAACTTCTGATGCCTGCCTTATGCATGAATGAGTGTGTTTTTTGACTGTCTCGAGTGCAGTCTGTTTCCGGACAATCTGTATTTTCCGATGGCACAGTATCTAGGCAGATTATGTGCCACACATTCGGAAATGAGATTGAAACCACGTCTAAAATAATAGATACATAAACGTCACTAATTAAAAAGTAAACATGAAAAACGTATTGCATATAAATATATCGCGAAAATTAAAACGTCGCCTCAGCTGCTGAACATAGGAGTTGTGTTTTCATGGGAATGACCCGAGTTCAGAGTTGTCGGTGCTGTAATCGGCACACGTAAGAAGTCAGAGGCAACACTGCCATTAAAGTATTTGTTTTGTTGTTTCCCTCAG